GAATTTCATTTATTTATTTATTTTTTTACTCCACAGATTTACAAACAGAACAAGCATACTTTGAATGGAAGTAATCACATAGTTCCAACACATTTTGTGGGGGAGGGTTAGAATTTATGAATAAAAAAGATAGTAAATGTTTTCTCTACTTTTTTCTCATTGTTTATCTATTGGGCAAGCTACCTTTATGTCAGCTGTACTTGGATGAAAGTTACTTAATAGTATATGCAGACTGGTGTGTTTACCCTATGCAAATGACGGTAAGATAATTAAAACAATCGGTTCTGTGTGTCTGTTTTTCAGAAAACTTCTATATAGGATTCTAAATTGTGCTTTCTTTCTCATCTACCACATCATCCCTACCCATCCACCTTCTTTGAAGGACTGTTAATTTCAACACACAGCCTTTGTACTTAAGTGATAAATTCTCAGAGGTATCATCCTTAGTTAAATATTACACATGAAATTACCTATAGTATGATGTACATACATAATAGTAGGTATGTTATTAATCATGTATATAAGAATATTAAGCAATCTGGGATTTAGAAAATAATAGGCTATCTTTTTTTTTTAGCGGTTTTGGGCCTGATAAGGCATTCCATTTCAGACCCTGTGAGGTCTATTGGATGCTGAATATCATCAGCCATATGATGATTTGGAGTGGAAAATAAAGAGTTCCCATATCCTGCCTTCCTCCTCCCTGGTATTTCCCCTACTGTTTTCTTGCATTAGTGTGATACATTTGTTACAACTGATGGATTAATAGCAATACATTACTATTAACTATAATCCATAGTTTACATTGGGGTTTACTCTTGCTGTTGTATATGCTGTGGTGTTTGACAAACCCATAAAGTCATGCATCCACCTTTACAGTATCTTATACCATAATTTCCTAGTCCTAGAAATACCGTGCGCTATGCCTGGTCATCCTTCTCCCATTCCACACCCCTGGTCTTCTTGTTGTCTTCATAAGAGATGATTTTTTTCCCTTTCTCTTTTGGCTATTTCCGCTTAGCCGCAATGAAAGGACTTGCTGTGACGCTTTGAGGGAGGAAGGCACCACCAAGTGTCCCTTCAACTTCCCACACACAGAGCCAGACATCTCCAATTACTGAGAGACAGCTTTGCCTTCTCTGACCTCCTGGGCAAAAGGCTGTCAGGTGGCAGAGAACAGCTGCAGATAAGCAAGGAGGAAGATGAAAAGGAGAGTGAGTCAGAACTCCTACCAGGCTCTGGAGACTTTTGATACTGTGACTCCCCTTTCTCATCCCAAACCTTTTGACTCAAAGTTGATCAATCAAACGATGGATTGTGGCTAGAACAGTGGAAGGTTAACGGCTCCCACAGGTTGATTTGCCTCAATTGGGTCGGTGGTTTTCTGGAAGTTGGCACCTTGCACCTTTGTTGATAATCCCAATTCTGGTACTATAGACGTGGAGGTTTTCATTGCTATTGTTTTAACTTAGTAGACCTTATGTGTGCCTCAGTTCACAATTGCAGAAATGTGGAATCAACCCAAATGATCATCAATCAATGAGTGGATAAATTGTTATTTTTATTTATATATATATATATATGAATGATGGACTACTATTCAGCCATAAAAAGGAATGCATTAATGGCATTTGCAGCAATCTGGATGAGATTGGAAACTATTATTCTAAGTGAGGTAGCTCAGGAATGGAAAACTAAACATCGTATATTCTCACTCCTAAGTGGGAGCTAAGCTATGAGGATGCAAAGGAATAATAATGACATAATGGACTGTGTGGACTCGGGGAAAGGGTGAGAAGCGGGTGAGGGATAAAAGGCTACAAATTGGGTTCAGTGTATACTGCTCGGGTGATGGGTGCACCAAAATCTCACAAATCACCACTAAAGAACTTACTCATGTAACCAAATGCCACCTGTTCCCCAATAACCTATGTAAATAAAAAAAAAATTTAAAAAAGACCATAAATGCGCCTGACACTTGACACTCGTCAGCATTTTGCAGTCATTCAGACCTCATTGCGCTTCTACCAAATAGTTATTCTTCTTTTCTTATTATACACGTGGGGAATGCAGGAGTGACAAGATTCTAATCCAGCCCATCTGGCTCCACAATTCATGCTCTGAGCTCCCCTACTCCCCTAATCCTCCACAGCTATACTCTTCCCCTTTCTGGCCAGGCAGGATTTGGGAGAATGCCTTCTAAAAATACACTGCTCCTTTCTAGTATTGGGCCACTAAAATCCCTTACCTTACTCTCTTACTAAATCCCTTACCTCACTCTACCTTACCTTACTCCTTCTAAGAAGCAACCCCCATATGGCTGATGATCTGGGTCTGAAATGGACAAAGGGTGTGTGACCCACGTTACAGTCAACACTTTGTCTCCTGCCCACTGTGCAAGCCCCAGCCCACTGTCGTTTTCATTCTCTGGAACTCTGCTTTTCTATTTAAAGTGTGAAGTGATTTGATGAGATGGCTTCCTCTGTTTTTGTCTAAAATTAAGGATGAAGTTCTAAAACTTGAATGAAGCTCTTACAGTGGTGCACACCTTTAATCCCAGGTACTCTGGAGGCTGAAGCAGGAGAGTTGCTTAAGTCTAGGAGTTTGAGTCCATGCTGGCCAACATAGCAAGACTCTGTCTCAAGAAAACAAAACAACCAACCAACTCCCCACTCCCATTCCCCCCCCCAAAAAAAAACTTGATGGAAATTAGAGAAGCATTTCATTTGTCCAATACAGGAAGGCTTGAATCTCCAGTCAAGCCAGTGTAAACTCATTTCCTCCACTTTTTAGACTAGAATGTTGGGGTGCTAGAATTTTAAGGAAAAATTTCAGCAGCTCCGAGCACCTAATGGGACAGCCTTGGGTGAAAGCATCAGGAGGATAGAGTTTCTAATTTCTAACACCTATGGAGTTCTGCACCATTCAGCCCAAGCCGTGGGTAATGGCTGGCCTGAAAATGGAACTTTTTCATAGTCAAATTAGCCTAGAGCAGGGTATATTTTCTCCCTGGCTATTCCCACTGCTAATATTTGGTGTATTTGTTTGGGGCAGTTTCCCATCTTGGGGTGATGTTGTCTGGGCCCCCCTCAACCTCATCTTGGGGCACACAAGGTGAAGTGAGTTGTGTGAGAGTCAAAATTTCCAGTTATGAAGAAGCCTGGAGACAAGGAGGAAGTGGAAAGTTGAAGGGGACTTATCAGCGCCGATGTCAATCTCCATATTTTGGATGGATGCCACAGTTTCATTTAGTACAAAAACAATCTGTCCATTTTTGCTTCTTGGGCATGTGGGGAATGTGGAGCATTTTTCCTCTGAAGGTCATCCCTGTGTCGAGATACCATTTTGTGACTGTGGGGATGTATCAATTTAGATTTTTCAATGTTCATTGTAACCAACTATGAAGATGCTTCAACACGTTGAAAGTTACAACAGGAAAACACAATTTTGCAGATTTTATGACTCCATTGTGTGTGTATATGTATACATTTTCTCTCAGGCTCCAGGAACCTTATTCATTTTTTATTATAACATTTATGATATAGGGAAAATAATCTAATACTGGTTGGGGAATTGTTGAATTGCTAATAGTGAAAATGTAAACATTTTTAACCTCTTTCTATTTCTTCTATTTTCCCTATAACCATGTTATTCTTTAGAATTTGTTAAATACAACCAAGGGGACTCTTCATACTGGTAAATATACATCAAAGATTATATAATAAGGTTAAAATTTGGGATTTTTTTTCTTTTCTTTTATTAGTATCATATTTGTTTTTAGAGACAGGTTGTTGCTCTGTCACCTGGGCTAGAGTCCAGTGGCGTGATCATAGCTCACTGCAGCTTTGAACTCCTGGCCTCAAGCGATCCTCCTGCCTCAGCCTTGGGAATACAGGTGCATGCCACCATGTCCAGCTAATTAATTTTTTTTTTGGAAGAGACAGGATCTTGCTATATCGCCCAGGCTGGTCTTGAACCCCGGGGGTCAAGCAGTCCTCCTGCCTCAGCCTCCCAAAGTTCAAGCATCATAGCTGTTAGCCACCAAGTCTGGTCTTTCTCTTCTCTTTCTTTTTAAAAAATAGGGCATGGAAGACTTGGAGTAAAGAAAGGCCAGCGTTTTAAATGTTAAAGAATATCATCCAAAGTAATTTGCTTTGCTATAATAATCATGGTGGATATTGCCACCATTATCTTTTTTAAGTTATGGAAGGTCAACTTAACTGATTGTTTCATTTTCCAATACTAGTAACTTATATAAAAGGAGAATTAAAAAAATATTTCAGTGAATTGGGTCCCCAACATCTCAGCACCTGCAATATTTATATCCATATTGAGTAGTCTTAATAATGAAATACTTTGATGTTTTAGAGTTCAACAATTGTCTTTACGAGCATGAGAAAGGCAATACACACCCATTCAAAATATGTAAAGAATGGAAATAGTTGGAGGGGAAAAATGTTGCCCATATATCTACCACCCAGCTATTAGCATTGGACAGTATTACATTCCACTATTTTTTTCCAAGATTAGAAAAGTCTTTCGTATTAACAAGACCTTTTGACTAGTGACTGAGTTAGGGAGTGCAATATCTCACCTCCGAAGTACAACTCTGTGACAGGTCAGCTTGGGCACTGCCAGGCACTTTCTTTATGCATTTAGTAATTTGCACTCTGTTTTAAGGCAGAGCTTTATCTTCTTATGTGTGTGTTGTCACTATGGATTCATGGGTTCTGAAGTGTTCAAATGGGTTGGAATCCATTCCCGCCATTATTTGTTTTGATATCCAGTTTGTCACAGGTTTGACTTGTGGGGAATTTTGAAGCACACTGCTGCATGTGTTGGATGCGTGCCTGTCATTTTGGGAGCACATCCCGTCTTTGCAGCATGATGGGATGTTTCAGGCTTGTCTTGTGGTTCTCTTGCTCATGCCTGGGATCAGCTCTATCTCAGAGGGGTCCCGGGGACACTTTGTTCATCATTTTGTGTGCCTGCTTATACAGTGTTCACAAGAGAGCCCTGGGGGAGACGATGTACATAAAAACATCTGCTTCTGCAGACCTGTGAAAATGTGCCCCAAAACCGTAAACATTGAATTCTTCAAAAAGAGAAACGGTGCTGGAGAAAGAATGCAGAAGAGCCTGTGACGGAGACAGAGACACCGCCATGGCTGGCCTTCTTTGTTGCCCTCTGTGCCTGCTGAGATTTTACCAGGAGGAGAAACCTATCTGCAGAGACCACTAGATACCCTTGTGTCAGCAGGCTCTCCTCTTAACTTGCACCTTATTTGGTTTTAGGCTTGCAAATCAAGTTCATCAAGGGAGGGCGAATTTGTTTATGGAAGAGGCCCAACTGAAAAGGTAAAGGGGTGTGTGTGTGAGTGTGTATGCACGCATAAGTTTATTTTGTAGTGACTGGAATTTCTGTATTGCTGTCGCAGAGGCTACAAAGTACCATATTAAAAAAAAAAAAAATCCCAGGCCGGGCGCGGTGCCTCACGCCTGTAATCCCAGCACTTTGGGAGGCCGAGGAGGGTGGATCATGCGGTCAGGAGATCGAGACCATCCTGGCTAATACAGTGAAACCCTGTCTCTACCAAAAAAGTGCAAAAAAATTAGCTGGACTTGGTGGCGGATGCCTGTAGTCCCAGCTACCCTGGAGGCTGAGGCAGGAGAATAGCGTGAACCCGGGAGGCGAAGCTCACAGTGAGCCGAGATCGCACCACTGCACTCCAGCCTGGGCGACAGAATGAGACTCCGTCTCAAAAAAACAAAAACAAAACCAAAAAAAACATTTACTTTATTTTATGTTCCGGGATACATGTGCAGGACGTGCAGGTTTGTTACATAGGTAAACGTGTGCCATGGTGGTTTGTCACACCTATCAACCCATCACCTATGCATTAGCTATTTATCCTGATGTTCTCCCTTCCCCCGTCCCCTTGACAGGCCCCAGTGTGTGTCCCCTCCCTGTGTCCATGTGTTCTCATTGTTCAGCTGTCACTTATAAGTGGGGTTTGGTTTTCTGCTCCTGTGTTTGTTTGCTGAGGCTCCCAGCTCCATCCATGTCCTGCAAAGGACATGATCTCTTTTTATGGCTACATAGTATTCTATGGTGCATTTGTACTACATTTTCTTTATCTGGTTTATCATTGATGGGCATTGGGTTGATTCCATGTAATGTAATAATTGTATTAGAAAAGGTAGATCCTAGGATTAGTGGGTGATTGGTGGAAGGACAGTGAAGGTGTGGAAAGTCTTTGGGCAGGCACAGTTACCTCTTCACAGTACCTCATGGATCACATTCAGGGGGAGTTAGTAGGAAACACAAGATGGAAATTCGGGCCATGATGCCAGCAAGCTTTGTTCTGGCCAGGCTCCAGTTGGCTCTATTGGTTCCAACTGATTTCAGCCAGTTTTGTTATCTTACAAGCATAGGGAGTTTCAGCATTTCAGCAGGTTGTTTCTTTTCTTATCTGCCATCCTGCAAACTCAAGAATTTCTGTTAGTCATTGGTTTCTTTAACTCCTTGGGGCACAGTTTCAGTAGGAGTCAGGAAACTGCCAGCAGCCCAAATCTGCCCTGCTACCTATTTTTATATGGCTCATGAGCTAAGAATGGGTTTTGCATTTTAAAATGACGAAAAAAAAATCCAATGAAACAGAACGTTTTTTGACACATGAAAATTATATGCAACTTAAATTTCCGTATCTCTTATCAGTTTTCTCAGGCTGCTGTGATAAAGTATCACAAACAGCTTTGCTTAAACGACAGAAATTAATTGTCTCACAATTTTGGAGACTGGAAGTGTGAACCAGGGTGTCAGCGGGGTTGGTTCCTTCTGAGACGGCTATGAGGGAGGGATGAGTTCCAGGCTTCTCTTCTTGGCTTGTAGATGTTCTTCCTATGTCTCCACATCTTTATTTTATTTTATTTTATTTTGAGACAGAGTTTCACACTTGTTGCCCAGGCTGGGCACAATCTTGGCTCACCACAACCTCTGCCTCCCAGGTTCAAGCGATGCTCCTGCCTCACCCTCCTGAGTAGCTGAAATTACAGGCGCCTGCCACCACGCCTGACTAATTTTTGTATTTTTTTTAGTAGAGATGGGGTTTCATCATGTTGGCCAGACCGGTCTTGACCTTCTGACCTCAGGTGAGCCACGGCGCCTGGCCTTCTCCACATCTTTTTCCCTTTATATGTCTCTGTCTATGTACAAATTTTTCCTTGTTATAAGGAGACCAGTCATTGGGTGAGGGCCCACCCTAAACACCTCATCTTAAGCAACTACATTTGCAAAGACTCTATTTCTAGATAAGGTCACATTCCAGGGTACTGGGGGTCCAACATATCAATTTTGGGGGGAACACAGTCCAACCCATGACAGCATCCCACATGAAATGTTATTGGAGCACAGCCACACTTACTCATTTTCTTATGGTCTAGGGCTGATTTTGCACTACTCCGGCAGAGTCAAATAATTTCAACGGAAACTGCCTGGCCTGCGAAGAGGCAAACCAGGACCTGTGGTGTTATATCCAGAACCCAATGAAAAATGAGAATGCAAGGCCCCTTTGAAAAATTAAGAATCTGAAGACAGAGATGGCAAAGCATTAAACCAAGGTTGGGCCCCTTCTAAATGTGGGGCCCTGTGTGACTGCAGTTTGCTCACCCATGAAGCCATCCCTGCCTAAAATATCCACTATCTGGTCATTTACAGAAGAAAACAAAAATTGTTGGTCCTGCATTAAGAGCAGAGCTGGGAGTGACAGCTTGGGCTTCAGGGGCATCAACCTGATGCAGGACCACAGAGGCATCAGCCTGAGTGTAATCAAAAGATGCCAAGAAACAAGGTTCATGTAATTTACCAAGGACTAGTGTTGGTTTAGTTCCTCTTTCTTCTTTCATCTTTGTAGAGTTTTCTGCGCTCAGCGTGTCCTTAATGGTCACTGCAGCTTGCTCCATTTCATTTGAGTGTTTTAAACCCTCTTTCCTGCAGCTTCCCGGAGAGGACGTGCTCCATGTTTGATGTCCGTCCCTTAGAGTATGTGATCGTAGCACATGCACCCTGGCAGAAGGGCTAGTTGAAATGTGATGCTGTTGTTTTTAAGCTCTTAGAAGTAACAGTGCTAATTGGGATTTTGATCAAGTGTGCTTGCCGTCTGAGCAGTCCAGGACCATCAGGGGGCAAGGACCACATGGAGATCATGGGGAAGGTGGTTCTTTATTACCTTTGTTATGGCTGCAACCCTTCTGGGCTATCTCTAGTGTTTGGACTTGTAGTCAAATGTAATCCTTCATTAAGATCAAACAGCCAACAGCATTCCAAAACGTCTCCTGTTATAGGCTATATTCTGTCTTCCCTGCAAATTCAGATGTTGAAGTCCTAACCCCCAGTTGCTCAGAATGTGACTGTATTTGGAGTTAGGGTCTTTAAAGGGGTAATGAAGGTAAAATGAAGCCATTAGCGAGGGCCCTGATCCAATAGGACTGGTGTCCTTATAAGATGAGGACACAGACACATAGAGAGGGACGACCTGGTGAGGACACAGGGAGAAGATGGCATCTACAAGCCCAGGAGAGGGGCCTCAGGAGGAACCAGCCCTGCCCACACCTTGATCTTGGACTTTCAGCCTTCAGGACTGTGGGAGAGTAAATGTCTGTTGTTTATAAGCTGCCCGGTCTATGGTATTCTGTGATAGCAGCCTGAAATGAACTAAGACATCTCAAAAGAAGAGGAGATGAGGACATAGACACACACAGAGGGACAACCACATGAGGACACAGGGAGAAGACAGCATCTACAAGCCAAGGAGAGAGGCTTCAGGAGGAACCAGCCCTGTCCACACCTTAATTTTGAACTTCCAGCCTCCAGGGGTGTGGGAAAATAAATAGTCTGTTGTTTAGGCTGCCCAGTCTATGCGATTTTATTCTGGCATTTGTAGAAAACTGACCCATCCACCTAGATCCTCATAATTTCTCACCTGGCTGCTCTGTGTATTGCTGTAACGTGTAGTGTATTACTTAAAAATGTCTTCTACTTTGCACTGCTGTGGTTCTCTTGTCCTCCTGCTTGCTGTTCAGCTTCTAGGCCTGCCCCAGCTTGTAGCACTCTCTGGGACATTAAAGTTTTATTTATTGTGATAAGTATATATCAAAGACATGCTACTTACAGGATACTCTATATATTCTTTAGGGCACGTATTCATAGGAAGCATGAAGCAGAGTTTGTATTCTCAACAAGATTATATCATAGTTTTGGGTTAAAGTCTATATACATCTCTCTTTTTAAAAACAAATTTTTTTTTGTAATTATAGACAGGGTCTCACTATGTTGCCCAGACTGGTCTCGAACTCCTGGACTCAAGCAATCCTCCCACCTTGGCCTCCTAGAAGGCTGGGATGTCAGATATGAAGCCACCGTCCCTGGCCATATCTCTTGGCCATAAAATGAGGTGGGTTTTAGTGCCAGTCTGGCAAGCTGGCTGACCTTGGGCATGTCATTAAAGTTCATGGTGCAAGCAAAGGTTAGTATTAATAACCCATCAGGGAGAAGTATGTACAAGGGCCAAACTTCAGTCTGATGTCTAGTCAGGAGAAGGCAGAGGAATGGGGAGAACACAAACAAACCTAAGTCACTCTCCCAAAGACAATGTCCAAATGTCCACCTGAGACCTTTTTGTGTGTGTGGAACAAGACACAAGTTTTTGTGTGTGTGGAACAAGACACAAGTTTTTGTGTGTGTGGAACAAGACACAAGTTTTTGTGTGTGTGGAACAAGACAGTGTTGCCCAGAGAGCTGCCTCGGAAGTCATTTTCAGGGATGGGTTTCATGTATGCAGGAAGGTAGCCCCTTCCCCTCTATGCTGGCTGCCCTGTGTTCAGTGGGTGTCAGGCTGCTGTCTGCTCTTGTTCCTGTTTCCCATGAACATTTCTACCTATGTCTGCCTGAGAACCTGGCCAAAGTGCAAAAGTGTCCCTCCTCCAACCTGCCATCTACTCTCTTTTTTGCTTTCTGTTTTTGTTTTTAGAGACAGACAAGCTGGGCGCAGTGGCTCACGCCTGTAATCCCAGCACTTTGGGAGACTGAGACGGGTGGATCACTTCAGGCCAAGAGTTTGAAACCAGCCTGGCCAACATGACAAAATCTCGTCTCTACTGAAAATACAAAAATCAGCTGGGCGTGGTGGCGCATGCTTGTAGTCCCAGCTACTCAGGAAGCTGAGGCAGGATAATTACTTGAGCCTGGGAGGTGGAGGTTGCAGTGAGCCAAGATCGCACCACTGTACTCCAGCCTGGGTGACAGAGTGAGACCCAGAAAAAAGAGAAGAAAGAAAAGAAGAAAGAATGAAAGAAAGAAAGGGAGGGAGGGAGGAAGGAAGGAAGGGAAGGGAAGAAGGAAGGAAAGCAGAGAGGGAGGGAGGGAAGAAAGAAAGATAAAGAAAGAAAGAGTCTCACTGTGTCACTCAGGCTGGAGTGCAGTGGCACAATCAGAGCTCACTGTAGCCTCTACCTCCTGGGCTCATTCAATCCCCCTTACTTAGCCTCCAGAGTAGCTGACACTACAGGCACACACCACCACATCCTGCTAATTTTATTTTATTTTTTATTTTTTTTTTAGACAGAGTCTCATTCTGTCGCCCAGGCTGGAGTGCAGTGGCATGATCTTGGCTCACTGCAACCTCCGCCTCCCAGGTTCATGCGATTCTCCTGCCTTAGCCTCCTGAGTATCTGGGATTACAGGCGCACACCACCACACCTGGCTAATTTTTTGTGTATTTTTGGTAGAGACAGGGTTTCACTATGTTGGCCAGACTGGTCTTGAACTCCTGACCTCGTGATCCACCCGCCTCAGCCTCCCATAAGTGTTGGGATTACAGGCATGAGCCACTGCATCTGGTCTCCCTGCTAATTTTTTATTTTATTTTTGTGGAGACAAAGTCTTGCTATGTTGCCCAAGCTGGTCACAAACTACTGGCCTCAAGCAATCCTCCCACTTTAGCCTTCCAAAGTGCTGGGATTACAGGTGTGAGTCACTGTGCCCAGGCTGCCATCCACTCTTGATTATGTTTCCACAACATTCTGGTGCATGCCTTTTTTTTTTTTTTTTTTTTTTTTTTGAGACGGAGTCTCACTCTGTTGCCCAGGCTGGAGTGCAGTGCCGCGATCTCGGCTCACTGCAAGCTCCGCCTCCTGGTTTCACGCCATTCTCCTGCCTCAGCTTCCCGACTAGCTGGGACTACAGGCGCCCGCCACCACGCCCGGCTAATTTTTTGTATTTTAAGTAGAGACGAGGTTTCACCGTGTTAGCCAGGATGGTCTCGATCTTCTGACCTCGTGATCCGCCTGCCTTGGCCTCCCAAAGTGTTGGGATTACAGGCGTGAGCCACTGCGCCCGGTGGTGCATGCCTTTTTACCTGCAAAGTGAGAGCAGAAGAGGTAGTCCTCTAATCTAGGTGGTGTAATCTGAGGGCTTGTGAGGATATTTTCCAGCATATCTTCATCAAGGAGGTTGTTCCAGGGCTACAATTATTCCATTCGAATTTTTGTGACCCCCTCTAAGATGAGACTGCTCCTGAGAGCAAGTATTACATTTATTCATACATTCAGTCCCAGAATGAATTCATCCATCCAACAGATAGATATTCATTGAACAATTCATAAGTATCTTTGGCATGGAGAAAAAAAACAGACGAGTCCAACTTTTAAGCAATGCATAGTTTCAGGAGGGAAAACAAGCAATAAAGAGGAAATTTTAATAGCTTGAAAATGCTGTAAGTGAACTGACAGGGAAAATAGGAGAAGGACCCATAACCCTGGGACAAATTAAAACTGACCTCTAAGGAAGAGCTAGCTAATTGGAAGCGTGGGAGGTGGAGGGGTTTGGCAGTGTCCTAGGGAGGTTGGACAGCGTGTTACAAGAAAGCAGCAGGCACCAGGGCGTATCTGAGGCATTGAAAGTAGCTGAGCTCATGCGGTAGGGCATTAACCATGTCCCTTCCATGGTGCTCGCCAATGCATTGAGCACCCACAGCTCTTTCTGCTGCATCTGCCACTCTCTACTTGAGAAATTCCCTATTCTGACTGAGAAGCGGGCTAGAGGCACTGGGAGTTAATGCCCACGGGAGCCGCCCCCAAGTGCCAATAGACAGGAGGTAGTAGATGAGAAATACTGTGGCTTCCCTGTTACTTAAGAAGGAGAACAGACTCCCAGTGGTTCCCAGTGCAGGTGACTCCCAGGTACTCAGAGCATAAAGCATTACCTTAATGTACCCTGGACTCCCTTCCATCCCCTGCCTCACTTCCCTTCTTCCTTATTCTCCATCTTAGGATCATGTAAACCCAGACTATGCCAAGCTCTGAGGTTAAGAGCACAGTCCTGGCTGGGCGTGGTGGCTCATGCCTGTAATCCCAACACTTTGGGAGGCTGAGGTGGGCGGATCACAAGGTCAGGAGATCAAGACCAGCCTGACCAACATGGTGAAACACCATATCTACTAAAAATACAAAAATCAGCTTGGCATGGTGGCGCGCGCCTTTAATCCCAGCTACTCAGGAGGCTGAGGCAGGCAAACTGCTTGAACCTGGGAGGCGGAGGTTGCAGTGAGCCGGTATCGTGCCACTGCACTCCAGCCTGGACAACAGAGCAAGACTCCATCAACAACAACAACAACAACAACAACAACAACAAAAAATGCACACTTCTCCAAATTGCCAAGTATGTTCAAGACGTCTGCCCAGCCACAAGTTAAGGGTTTCTCAAAACCACCCTCAGGTTTTGCAATTTGCTAAAAATGCCCCCAGGATTCACTGCAGACTGTTACGCTAAGGCTCACGTCTATTACAGGGATATGATCTGAATCTGAACCAGCCTAAAGAGGAGTTCACAGGGTGGAGTCTGGGGAAGTTCCCAATGTGAAGCTTCCATTGTTTTCAGAATGCATTTCCACACATGGTAGCATGCACGAAATATCACCAACGAGGGAAGTCACCTGAGCTCAGTGTCCAGAGTTTTTACTGAGGCTTCATGCTGTAGGCATGATTAATCGAGCTACGACCCATGTGGTTAAAATCACTCTCTGCC